CATGGATGGGACTGGAGGAGATTATGCTAAGTGAAATAAGTCAAGCAGAGAAAGTCAATTATCATATGGTTTCACTTATTTGTGGAACACAGGAATAGCATGGAGGACATTAGGAGAAGGAAGGGAAAAGTGGGGCGGGGGGAACTGGAGGGAGAGATGAACCATGAGAGACTATGGACTCTGAGAAAGAAACAGGGTTTTAGAGGGAAGGGGGGAGTGGTGACTAACATAATATAATAAAAAACAACAACAACAACAACAACAACAGAAATGAATTCTCTATGGTGACTAACATAACATAATAAAATTAAAAAACAACAACAACAACAGAAATGTATTCTCTCAGAGCTCTGGGAGGCTGGAAGTCTGAAATCAAGGTGTTGCTGGGCCATGCTCCCTCCAAAGCTTCTAGGGAAGAACTTTCCATGTCTCTTTCAGCTTCTGGTCACTTCAGGCATTCCTTGGCTTCGGGTAGCATAACTCCAGTCTCTGCCTCCATTAGTACACGGTATTTTCTCTGTGTGCTTCATGTCTTCTTCTTATAAGGACACCAATCCTATTGGATTAAGGGCCCATGCTTCTCTAGTATGACCTCATCTTGATTACATCTGCAAAGACCCTGTTTCCAAATAAGAACATATTCATAGGCATCAAAGGTTAGGACTTGAACATACTTTTTTCGGGAAACACAATAAACCTATACCAGTGGGTTTCCACTTTTCATGCCCACACCAAGGAGTTTGAGGGAGTGGGTTGCAGCCATACCCCAGAAATCTTTAAGATTGGGTTACACTGCCTTAGAGGGTTTCATTCTGCATCCTTGTTTTCTTTTTTCCTTATCCTAATTGGAAACTGCAATATGGTTTCTTCTTGGATACTCCATGAACAAGGTTACACTACCGTAATTTCTGTCAGTCTGGGCTTTGTTGACTCAGGGCATTCTTCTGGGTCGCCCCAAGTTATTTTTATCTACCTTATGGGCTTCCCTCTTCCAACATCAGCCAGTTCCTATACTCTTATACCTAAGGTTTTAGAGAGACCCATAGAATCATCAATAGCTTTATTGCTAAGTTTTAAGCTCCTCCTTGCTCTACATATCCAGAGAGGGATTTAGCAGGTCTTTGAAAAATACCTACCCATGTAATCTTGCTTCCAAAGTCATTGGACTCCCTTAGCATTATTCCTCGAGGCTGGTGATTCTTTCATAGGCTTCTTCTAGAAGATATTTTGATTGACTAATCCTAGCAGTGCTGAGATACCCACTTTTCCTCCCATGCCATCCATGTTTCTAGGGAAGGTCAAGAAGTAGACCTAATTTGTCAAAATGTAATTTTCAGCTCTCTTGTCACTGATGGGTGAAGGAACCCAGGCTAAAGCTTACCAATGCAGGAAACTTTCCCAGCCATAGAATTTGGTTCTGGAATGGCCATGTAACCCAGTGGAAGGCAAGTGGATTCTGGGAGGCTTCTGGGAAATAGATGTCCTAAATTTTAAGATGGTCCTTTCTTTTCTCTTGACCTTGTGTGTTGATATGAGGCCTGAAACTGCTGTAGCCACCTTGTGCCTAGTTTGGGAATGAAGCTGACTCCTGGGAATGAAGCTGCACAGTCTAGAGTACTGTAAAGAACTAGATTTGAAGCTGTGACTGACCCACAATTAATCATCACTCTACAGTGGTCTTTTCCAGTTATGTTCAGATTGGATTTCTTGTTTCTAAGACCTGAATTGGGCTGGTTTGAAAGCATTTTATCTGGCACATCCTGATGGGTCTGTTTGAGCAAATGGAAGATCCAATGGAAGAGAGAGTGATTCCCATCAGTCTCCCAAGGGAGTCTTTCCTCAGTGTGAAGCAGAGGGCTCAGGCTCCATAACCTCATATTTGTAGAAGTCAGTCATCAACTTAGCAGAAATCTGGCAATAGCTGCCATCCTCTGGGGTACTTATGTACATACCCTGTATGTGTCAGACTGCGGGTCCTTTCCATGTAACTATGCCAGTGATAGTTACAGTTTCTTCCACAGTTGTTATCAAGTGGCCCTCACAGATTGGGTGAGGAGAGGGATCAGGATCAATGGATTGCTTGGACTCCTGAGCCTACAATCAGTTTACCAAGTTCTGCTAAAGAGAGGACAGGGGATTTTCCAAACTGATGGCATTACAAATTCATGATCCACAGTAACTGGACCCTCCAGACACAGTCTGTCCCCTCTACAGCAGCAATTTCAAATCTTCACCCGCTACAGGTAGTCTCAGCTATTTCTAGAGAAAATTAAAAAAAAAAAAAAACACAACAAAAAAACAAAAAACCCAACAATCCAGAAACATCAGGCAGGAGCCACAGCCGACCTCCATGGAAACAAAGACATACCAGCACCTACAATAACCCTTTTAAGGATTTCAAAGGAAGAGGTGTCTTGCCTGCCCTCCAGGTGTGGCTGGGGCTTTACCACTGAAGCACAAAGGGTGGTAAGAGAACTAGAAGAAAGAAAACAGGGCAATGCTACCCAACAGTAAGAACTAGAGAGGCAGTAAAGGAGGCCTGTGGCTAAACCCTGGCGACGACTATTAGGAAAATACCAGAGGCTGACCCGCCTGCCGCTGCGCATTGAGCTGCCTGTGTGGTCACGAAGCGAGGCCTCTGCCCTAAACAGTCTTGGGTCTGTAGCGTAGCATCCCTCCCTGCCTACCGCGCCCAACCCAGGGCACAAATACAGTCCTCAGGGGTGTGGGAGGCCGAAGGCGGTGGCTGTGGGAGCCCCTCAGGTTATCCTTGTGCCTCATTTACATAGTTTCTCTACCCACTCGATCTGCACAACAAAATTTTCCATGGCTCACCCTCTGCAGTGGTGGGAGTACGTTCCAGAAAGAGGCACACCAGGGAACTGGGACAGGAGGAGGGGAATTCAAACTTACAGGGAGAGAGTTTGGGGAAGGGGGGGGCGGATACGAGGCTGACCAGCTTCCCCGCAGAGGCCCCCGGGGCGGAGCAGCAGAAGGGGGAGCGCTTCCGAAGGACCCCGTCGCCACCACCATCCCGCCCCCTCCTCCCTTTCCCGCCTCCCGGGAGGGCCCGCTCCGCCTGCCTGAGTCACGGCTGGAGCCGGGGAGGAGCCGGGGAAAGGAGGCCCCAGCCCAGAGTGCAGCCAGCGGCCGCAGGGAGAGCAGGCAGCGCGGTCGGGGATCATGGGGGAGAGCGCGCTGGAGCCGGGGCCTGTGTCCGCAGCGCGGGCTGGGGGCCCGGTGCACGCCGTGACGGTGGTGACGCTGCTGGAGAAGCTGGCCACCATGCTGGAGGCGCTGCGGGAGCGGCAGGGGGGCCTGGCTCAGAGGCAGGGCGGCCTAGCGGGCTCCGTGCGCCGCATCCAGAGCGGCCTGGGCGCGCTGAGCCGCAGCCACGACACGACGAGCAACACGCTGGCGCAGCTGCTAGCCAAGGCGGAGCGCGTGGGCTCGCACGCGGATGCTGCGCAGGAGCGCGCCGTGTGCCGCGCAGCCCAGGTGCAGCGGCTGGAGGCCAACCACGGGCTGCTGGTGGCGCGCGGGAAGCTCCACGTCCTGCTCTTCAAGGTCAGTGACCTCAAGCGTCCCCCCCCTGGGGCCTCTTCCCCCCTCCTCCCCCCTCCTCCCGCGCGGCTACCACACCCGCATTCCTGACCCCACCCGGTGGCACGGACTTCTAGAGCCGCACCCACTTCCCACCACAATGCCACATCCCTCAGCTCCTGAACCCAGCCTAGCCAACCAGGGCCCAGCTCGCGCTCAGGCCACATCCACCGAATTTGCTCCAAGTCCCAGCCCATCCCCGAACGGTGGCGGGAGTGCGTACCGCGACAGTTCGCTGCCTCTGAATCTTGCCCCTGCGACCACCATCCTGCGTAAGCAGGTCCTACCTACTTTCCAAACTTTTGCAGTTCACCCAGTAGCTCTTCCCGCCCTCTCCACCCCTGCTCCCTACTTTCCCACGTCTCCCTTTTGTTTGCCCCTCGGGCTGCGGAGGCCAAGGGCGGGGCGGGTTCCCCGGTGTAATTAAGGAGTGAGGCTCAGGCTGCTGCGGGGTAGGGGACTGCCACGGTCAGAGCTGTGTTCATCACATGCAGGAGGAGTCTGAAATCCCAGCCAGCGCCTTCCAGAAGGCGCCTGAGCCCCTAGGCCCGGCGGACCAGTCCGAGCTCGGCCCAGAGCAGCCCGAGGCCGAAGTTGAGGAGAGCTCGGACGAGGAGCCGGTGGAGTCCAGGGCCCGGCGGCTGCGGCGCACCGGGTTGCAGAAGGTACAGAGCCTGCGGAGGGCCCTATCTGGCCGGAAAGGCCCTGCAGCACCAACGCCCACGCCGGTCAAGCCACCGCGCCTCGGGCCTGGCCGGAGCAGTGATGGCCAGCCGGAAGGCCCGCCTGCGCTGGAGCCCAACCCGGAATCAGAACCTCCACAGGACACCGAGGAAGACCCCGGGAGGCCTGCGGCTGCCGAAGCCGCGGTGCTGCAAATAGAGAGTGCGGCCTAAGGGCTGGCGCTGCCTGCGTTTCCTGTGCCTGGTCCCAAAATAAATCTCCCTCTCAGAATGCAGCCTTCACGCCCAAATAAGGAGTGAATCCTGCACCCACAGCCCAGCTCTGGCCTTTCCCAGCTCCTTCAGGCTAGCCTGTGTCCCCTGAAAGGAGCAGCCTATTGCACCTGCTTGCACTCACCGTCAATAAAAGTCATGCCAGCTAATCCGGACTCTATGTGAAGGGGAGGGAGGAAAAGGCTTGCAAGCCCTAAGACAGATGTTAGAACCTGGAATGTGGCTTCAGTTTCAAAAAGAACAGTGTGTCATTTCTCAGATTCCCAGTGAATCTTGGGCTCTGATTAGTGGCACATAGAAATACCCTGTTGGCCACTTGTGTTCGGAGCACTTTACTCACAGAGAAGCATCCAGTATAGTCTCTTGCTGTCCGTGCTCAGTAAATGTCAACAGGTGGTTTTCCTCTTAGTTTCTTCTTCCTCTTCCACCTCTTAATGGGTTTTCCTCTGTTCTCAGCCCTCTTCTCATTCTGGGTACTCCTCTGTGAACATTTACTCTCTGGCCTTTCCCAATAGCCACACACACTGTCCTGAGCTGCAGTTGAAATGTACCTCAATTCAGTCTGTCCAAAGCAAGCAATCTACCTTTTAAGTCCAATTTCAATTTTATAGATATTTATTGAGCACTTACTATGTATCATTTGAAATTGCTCCTCCTCTTGTGTTTTCTTTACCAAGGAATGGCACCATTGTCCACACAGAAACCTGGGAGTCCTCCCTGGCTCCTCGATCTCTCACTCCCCTCCCTCTCGGAAACAGTTATCCTATTGCTTTGACCTCTGCAGTCTGACCACTTTTTAAAGACCCATCGCCTTATCTTATTTGAACTGCCAATCTGATCCCATCATCTTCCTGATTCAGACCCTTCAGTGGCTTCCCATCACCTTCAGAATAAAGTGAGTTCTTGAATATTCCTGCAACATCTTTAACATAACCTTTCACGATTTGGCTTCTGCCCATTTTTGTAGCCTCACCGCTTGCCACTTCCCCTCATTCTACTATTGAATTACACTGAGCTGTGTGCTGTCATTCTCATCTCTACTCTCCCGCAAAATCCAGCAAGGGAACCCTGTTCCAGGCCCAGGTGCTTCTCTTCCTTGCCCCCAAAGCACCACCTGTACACCGCAGTTCTAACTGCTGACTGTGACTGTTTGCAGTTACTCTCCCCACCCCATTCCGCTAGACTGCGGCTCCTCTGCTGTTTTGTTAATGTATTAATTTCTGTATTTCCCACACCACATACCATGCCTGGCCCACAGTAGGTCCTTGTGAAGCAAGAGCATCACAGAAGTGAGAAGTGTGAGGGGATTAGCTAGGGATGGGAGCCTGGTCATCGGCCCATTCATTCAGTTACTGTCATATGAAAACATTTTGAGTGCCTAATGTATTCCAGGCCCTCTCCTAGGCCTTGTGAACACCAAGATGACAATCCTGAGGCCTTCCAAGGACTTCAGAGTTTGGGGAGATACAAACGTGAATGATGTAAATATAGTGATTGTTTTACATATGTTATTTTGAGAGGAAAGACAGAAGGGATGCAACCTAACCTGAAGGAGGAGAAGTGGGGGGATGCTTAAGGCAGTGTTCTTGGAAAAGGTAAATAGTGGGATGGGAAACAGAAATAGTGAGTGGCAGGAGAGCTCAGTGGTTATAGTTTGGCTTCTCAGTTCCTTCATCTATTAAATGGGATAATGAGAGCCCCTATTGGGCTGCTCTGAGGGTTAAGTTACATAAGTGTCTAGCACAGTGCCTGGACCAGAGCTTATTTCATTCATCCAGTTACTCAACAAATACTTGCTGAGCTTGGAGTTTCTGCCAGGCAGTTTTAAGAACTGGGGATACAGTGGCACATAAGAAAGACAAGATCCCTGCCTTTGTGGATTATGTAGGGGGAGACCAGCCATAAACAAGTATACTTATGAGACAGATAAAAACATGCAAACATATGAACTAGAAGGGCTTTCTGGTTATGGGCTCTGAAGGAAAAAAAGGAGTAAGGATACAGATGATGATGGGGCAGGGGAATACTTTAGATGACGAAGTTGGGGATTTAAAATGGGAGCAGACGCATCATGATCTCGGGGTCCTGGGAGTGGCTCAGGGTAGGTCTCCACACTCAGTGGGGAGTCTGCTTCTCCCACCCTTCCCCTCCCCACCTTGGGTGCACGCTCTTTCTCTCAAATAAATGAATAAAAATGTTTAAAAAAGAAAAAATGGGAGCAGAATTGAACAGAGACTTAAAATTTTTTTTTCATATGGATCCAGTTAGAAGAGTCTAAGCCCCCACTGGCCACGATTGGCGGAAATTCTATTACCAATCACTATAGGGCTCCTCTCCTTCCTTAGATTGTACAGGTATACCAGGAGGTTCACCCCATCTCCTTGTCTCTCAGACCATGGATGTCTCTGCTGCTATTGCTGCCTTTGACCACAGGATGCCACTGTTGAGGTACCAGTGTCCTGGTGGATGTCTCAACAACCCAGAGGTCGGCTTGTCCAGCTGTGTGCCCCTAAATCAGGGGTCCTTCCATGAAGGCTGGCTCTGTCATAGCTCCATTTCCTCTGGAGAAATTCAGGGCTCATCCCTGCAGGCTTTGTAGACTGTATCAGCTACCTGGCAGCCACTCCTTTCAAGGTTATGCCATCACAGAGGGGCTGGTCTGAGGAGGCTCAGTTCTCTATCCCCAGGGAAAAACAAATTCTTGTTCTTTTTCCAAATCCTTGGAAATATACCCAATTCCAATTTCCTCCTTTCAACTCATAGATAAAATTAAGAGCCCAACTGCACATTTCTTACATAAGATGTCTTGATAGCTCATTGGGAAGCACATGAAGGCTCAGAGCCTGGACTCTGACCTCTAGGAACCTAAAATCTTGGCTCACTTGGGGGCGGATGTCATTTTTTATTCCTTCTTGATGCTTCTATAGGAGAAATAATAAAAGTTAAAACAAAGCTAGCTTAATTTCTTAATAGTTCTCGTTTCATTACGTGCTCTGTCATTACCTCTATTGCTATGATTATTAATATTATAAACTAAAGGGAGTGGAGACTGACCCAGAGTACCCACCTGTCTTCCAGCATATGTGGCCCTTAGGTGGCTGCTTTAAGCAGGGGGGAGGCACACTGGTGGATTACCAAAATTCAGAGTTTGGTTCTCAGTTCTTCAGACCAGAAGCACAAATTTATTAGGCGTTCCAGCGTGATTAGGCTGAGAAAGACTGATCGCAATAACTGACCTCAGAAGTGCTGGAGACATCCTGGAGAAATCCAAATGCTAAGTGAACTAGCATAAGCTAGCTGGCTATTCAGAACATTTTCCATTCTGCAGCATGGGAAGCCAAAGTACGATCTTAAAGTGTAAGAAAATAGAATGATGGAAATGGGATGGAGATAATCAACAGGATTACCCAACCTGGTATGACCATTTTCTGCTGTGGTACTCCTCCTACATGGGTAAAAATATATACATTCCTGGTAGGAAATTTCTTCTCTTGTTGAGTACCGGAGATCTTTTTGTCTGTCCTTTATTGAGAATTGAATCACATAACCGCAGCTTTGAAGGGAACCCAAAAGCCATCCAACCCACCTGCATTTCCAAAACAACATCCACTGCCATCTTGCTGCCTATCCTTAGTTGGCCTGTGCTTGAAAAAGCCAGGTGACAAGGAACTCACTACCTCTCCGGCAACTCTATTTTGGGGCAACTTTGACTGACAGGAAACTTATACTGAGATCAAAATCTGTCTTTATGGTTTTCCTATGTGGTGGTTGGCTTCCCTTCAGCAACATCTGTAAAACAAAATTTCTTTATTTCTATGATGTGTATGTCCTTGGAGTCCAACTCCAGCAGGGCCACACAAGACTGACTCGTCTAAAACGTCTTCCACACTATCTTCCTCAGGCCAAACATTGCCGGCTTATTCAGCCATTCCTTGTGATCTGTTATCAAATCCTGGCCATTCTTTTGTGGATTGTTTTAGTTTGCTCATATGCATTTTGAATAGGGATGTGTCAAGGTACATGGAAAGAGGCATGGCTTTCATAGTCAAAAACATCTGAGCTTTATTGCTGGCGAATGATAATTTCCTCTTCCCAGCTCTCTTAGAAGGATTAAATAAGATTTTTTTGTTTACTTATTCATTTATTTTAACTTTGTTGTACTATGTAATGGAGATGGATGATATATTACATGGATAGGGATGTGATAGAACTGTAATAGAACCTTCATAGAACTTATATTAAACTGGCAGGTGTAATAAAGTTTTAAATAAATGCTATGATGAGAAAAATATAAGGTGCTATGGAAGCATACAAATGGGGCTTCTAACCCAGCAGGGGTGGTGGTAATTACAGAGGCGGTCTCCTGAGGAGAAATGATCTTCCCTCCAGCCTGATTTCTATTTATTTTTTAAAATTTATTTATTTGAGGGAGGGAACGGGCGGGCGGGGGGAGAGGATAGAGAGAGAATATCAAACAGACTCCCAGCTGAGCGTGGAGCCCAACGTGGGGCTCAGTCTCACAAACCCATGATCGTGACCTGAGCTGAAACCGAGTCAGACACTTAACCGACTGGGCCACTCAGGAGCCCCGTATTATTTCTTCTTAGGTAAGTTTCTCAAGCGACTTTTTAGAAGGACCTGAGATATAGTAAAAAAAAAAGTACACTCATCTGAGTATCTCATCAAAATATTAAATCCAACATATACCAAACTGTGTGCATCTTTTCTCAAAAGTCAAGATTCTCTTCTGTATTTACCTTAGAAAGTGTTACAACCAAAGACCCGACCCTTATTCCCCCACCCCACCCCAATTCCTACATCCAATGAGTTACCAAATCCTGTAGATTCTTTATTAAGAATTCTTGTGAATTTTTCTCTCATAAATAACTAATAAATTTGGGCCACCGTGAAGACTTGAGAAGAAACACTGCCCACTGGAAGGCAGAGCTGAGAAATGGAGAGACATTGAGTATCACACTTTGCTTGTGGACAAAATGGAGTTAATAACACTATCTACTTTGTTATGGGATCAAGGAACCCACTTTACAGCAAAAGAGGTGCTTGTATGGGCACATGAACACAGGATCCACTGGTCCTATCACTCATCTCACCATCCTGAAGCCTGACAGAGTGTTGGAATGACATTTTT